ACCCCACACACACCAGCACCTCCCCCTCCCTCTCAATCAGCTGCTTTGGTGTGCAGGAGGCTCTGGGGCAGCGAGGGCACTATAGGCTCAGGGAAGGGGGCAGGAAGGGGTGGAGTGGGGGCAGGGCCTGTGTCAGAGCCAGGGGTTGAGTAGCGATCCCCTCTGCCCCCCTTGGCACATTGGAAAGTTGGCGCCTGTAGCTCCAGCCTCGGAGTTGGTGCCTTTACAAAGGAGTCACATTAACTTCTGAAGAGCCCCACGTGGCTCTTGAGCCATAGGTTGGCAACCCGTGTTAGATGGTGGTGACATGAAATGGAAGCATTCTGATGAACATAATCTGCTCATTTTAAACCACAGTACAACCTGCTGCATGGGTATTGTGTATGTTTTGAATGGGATCACCTCAGAAGCCAAAGTTAGTTTGTATACATTGGGAGTACTTACTTTAGTAATCCATTCCAGTAAAGAAAAGGCATTAGATCAGCTTTCATGTAGTACATGAGTAGTCTCTCCTTACTCTGGTCAATGGGAAACGTTTCCAGAGGCTGAGAATTGTAGTCAAATTCTGCTAGAATCACTCTATTGTAGTCTGTTACAATGGGACAGGAAGTGTATCCATCGTACTACAATGAAAGGTATCTTATCATCATGTACATTTTGCACAAAGTGCTACAAACAAGCTCTACCTAAGAGAGTTTATCCAAAAACCACTTCAAAGTGAATGCTGAGCTTGTGAAACTGTAGTTTCGCACTAGAAACTGTAGTTTTCAAAATCATAACAGATGCAGCAATTAAAGTTTCTCTATAAAACACTGTACCAACAGGCCTCAACCCTGGATCTAGAGCAGGAACCATTCAATCCTTTTGGTGCTGCCAAAAAATGGAGGTAGTTAATGACAGCATGTTTGTGGTTGTGAGGATATTTAACTACCTTTTCCTCCCTCACTACGAATTTGAGCCAGTGGTCGCTAGACAGGAGCTTCTGTTCTCCCTCACACAACAAGAGGACATAAAATGTAACTGTGGCAAATTCAAAACTCACGAAGGATATACTTTTCCAGTCCAATAGGTAATTAGACTGTTGAACTCATTGAGACCAAGACTTTAGCATGATTCAAAAAGAGATGGGACATTTATATGGATAACAAGAGTATCCAGAGAGATATGGTGAATGCTAACAAATCTCGGAAGGGTATTAAATCTCAGGTCTTAGACTGAAATGAAGGCACAAGCCGATCTCTATTTAGGGTTCTTGAGACAAATTATTTGCTGGCCTCAGTCTGGCCACCAACTCTTGCTGGTGGCTGTTTTCACACTCTTTTCCTAAAATTCCTAATTAGCTTTAGGAAAAACAATTTATGCACATGTAAACATCCAAATAATTGTAACGTATTTATTCCTACCTAGTAAGTCTTTATCACTTTTTAAAATAGACAAGTATCACTTTTCACAGCAGACTTACTGAGCCCTGGCAAGTCTGGGGACAAATTAAGACCTGGATGGGGGGGAGGGATGGAGCCTGAAGCCACACGGCTGGGGGACAGAGCCCCAAGCTGCATGTCTGGAGAACTGGTGCCTGGGGCTGAAGCCCAAAGCCTGAGCCCCACCATCCTGGGAAGGTGGGGAAACTCATCAGCTGTCTGCTCCTCCAGCTGTATCGGGGGGTGGGGAAGGTGGCAGAGCCCAACCCCTGCTGGCAGCCCCAGCAACCAACACCAAGGTGGTGCATCCAGAAGCAACAGGGAGAGGAAGAGGCTGCTGCTTTGTTGCCCCCCAAAAATCACACCCCAGGAGGCTGTGGCTGCAAGAAAAGCCCCTCGTGGCTGCATTTGAGAAACATGACTAAACTTTTCAGGGGCGGAGATTATCTTTTCTGTGTTTGTACAGTATCCAGCACATGGACCCCCTTCTTTGGTTTTCCCTTAGGCACTACTGTAATAAGTGGAATAAATAATGACTATTAGAGAACAGGATGAGACCTAATGGGGGGTGGGGGGGGGGGGAAGGCAGCAGCTTAACAGCTGCCTACAGTGGGAATCTTACACCTTCCTTTGAAGCTGCTGCAGCTGGCCACTAATGAAGACTGACAAACCTCCCAAATGCAACAGGCATGTCTTTGCCTTCTAACATCAACATATAGCAACTTGTATATTCTATCAAAAATAATGTAAATCCTACCAAAACAAGACATTCCATTGCTCACAGTTCTCCCACAGGGAGTGGATAATAGAGCAAACAACATATGATAGTTGTGTAGTCTATAAGCTATAAGTCTGTAGCTTAATGCAGTGCTTGTAGGCAATCATACTACAGTGATGAGCAGTTTAAGACATAAGAACGACTGTACTGGGTCAGACCAAAGGTCCATTAGCCCAGTATCCGGTCTACCGACTGTGGCCAATGCCAGGTTCACTCCCTCTGGGGCACCTAACAGGTAATGATCAAGTGATCTCTCTCCTGCCATCCATCTCCACCCTCTGACAAACAGAGTCTAGGGACACCATTCCTTACCCATTGTGGCTAATAGCCATTAATGGACTTAGCCTCCATGAATTTAGCCAGTTCTCTTTAAACGCTGTTATAGTCCTAGTCTTCACAACCTCCTCAGGCAAGGAGTTCTACAAGTTGACTGCGCTGTGTGAAGAACTTCCTTTTATTTGTTTTAAACCTGCTGCCTATTAATTTCATTTGGTGGCCCCCATGTTCTTGTATTATGGGAATAAATAAATAACTTTTCCTTATCTACTTTCTCCATATCACTTATGATTTTATATACCTCTATCATATTAGTCTCCTCTTTTCCAAGCTGAAAAGTCCTAGCCTCTAATCTCTCCTCATATGGGACCCATTCCAAACCCCTAATCATTTTAGTTGCCCTTCTCTGAACCTTTTCTAGTGCTACTTTATCTTTTTTGAGATGAGACCACCACATCTGTACGCAGCATTCAAGATGTGGGTGTACCATGGATTTATACAAGGGCAATAATATATTCTCCATCTTATTCTCTATCCCTTTTTTAATGATTCTTAACATCCTGTTTGCTTTTTTGACTGCCGCTGCACACTGTGTGGACATCTTCAGAGAACTATCCACAATGACTCCAAGATCTTTTTCCTGATTTGTTGTAGCTAAAATTAGCCCCCATTATATTGTATGTATAGTTGGGGTTATTTTTTCCAATGTACATTACTTTACATTTATCTACATTAAATTTCGTTTGCCATTTTGTTGCCCAATCACTTAGTTTTGTGAGCTCTTTTTGAAGTTCTTCAGTCTGCTTTAGTCTTAGCTATCTTGAGCAGTTTAGTATCGTCTGCAAAAACTTTGCCACCTCACTTTTTACCCTTTTCTCCAGATCATTTATGAATAAGTTGAATGGGATTGGTCCTACGACTGACCCTTGGGGAACACCACTAGTTATCCCTCCCCATTCTGAGAATTTACCATTAATTCCTACCCTTTGTTCCCAGTGTTTTATCCAGTTCTCAATCCATGAAAGGACCTTCCCTTTTATCCCATGACAACTTAATTTACGTAAGAGTATTTGGTGAGGGACCTTGTCTAAGGTTTTCTGGAAATCCAAATACATTTTGTCCACATGTTTGCTGATCCCTTCAAAGAACTCTAATAGATTAGTAAGACACAATTTCCCTTTACAGAAACCATGTTGACTTTTGCCCAACAATTTGACTGTGTATAATAGAATTATTGGTCAGTTCAGACATCTTTTTTGTTCATTCTTCCTACTTAGTGAGTCAGTAAAGCAATTGTATCGTTGGGGCTAGACTAGGCTTTGTGCACGGGGGAAAATTTAAGCTTAACACGCATTGTCAATTTCTTTTTAAAGGGTCTTTCTTCCCCGTCCACTATGCCGCTTGTAAGCCTTTAAAAAATAAAAAATAAAAATAACCCCCCCCCCCACCAAATTACGAGATTCTTGTATAAATACTAGTTAGTTTTAGTATCAAATAATAAGTCCCCTTAATTATTTTCAGTTTTCTTGGATTCTCCATAATTTTAAGTATTCTTTTCCCAGAAAGGCTTAACATAATAGTGGTTTCAGGGTAACTGACAAGGTTTTGAAGTTACACTAAGTTTTTTCTTTCAGTACCTTTCTCCTTTAGAAAGTCAACTTAAAAATTCAGGAGTGAAAAATTGTAAGACTGGATGGAGAAGAGTGGTACCTGTCTGTTCTTCAGCACCTGCTACTGAAGACAGGGACAAATATAACTAAACTAAGCTGCACATGAACAATTAAAGTGCTGTATTTTAAGAGTACAAACACCTAAAATATAAGCAATACTCTCTACCCACTTTTATTATTAAAAAAAATAAACTGCTGGAGGATAATTCTAATAAGGCAATTTCTTAGAAACATTAAAATACCTTTTTAGTTGGCAATTGGCTCTTCATTACTGAAGAAATTGTTTTATCAAGCACTGCAGACTGGGCAGCTAAATAAGAGATAAAAAGTTAGTTACACAACTTTGGCTACATTGCAGTTGAAGCATTTTCCTGCTATAAATAGTATTTACACTATAATATGATGACAATAATACAGTACATGGAAACTATTGTACAATTCAGTTTGTTTAGTAGAATGGGAATAATTCAGGTGGGGTGTTTTTTTAGGTTGTATATTCTCCAGTATAATAATCTAGTTGGACTTCTTCACATTTGTTTAATAAGTTTTTTTTCTAGTTATTTCTACAACAGATAAGATATTGGTGCATGTTAGTGAAGTCTGAACTTCATGTTTTGGGGAAAAGGGAGGGGGAGTGCCAAAATGTTTTGGAATTAGAGAAGTTTCATACTAAAGTTCCAGCAGGCTGATTATATAAAAATATTGTATAATGTTAAAAAGGGAGCTGTGACAAGCTATGGCAACATTGCCTGTGCTGAGTTAGTTCAATACACCACTCATTTTAGGTGCACATTTTTCTTATACCAATAACTACAATTTTAGTAGCCTTAATCCATTTAATTATTGTATTTCCATATTCTACAGCCACAGTATTTAACATTCAAATTTTAACTATGATAGGCATATGCCTAATGTCCATTTTGTACAGTTCAAATTCAGGGACTGCAAGAACAGAACATGGGATCATTTGACTATGAGAGTCTTAGCACTCAGATAGCATATGCATGTACTTTGAGATACAATAAAATGTTGCATAACTGAAGATTGAATAAGTGAATTAGTGTTATGTTCATTTTCCATAGCTTGTCACACTCCATCTCTGTGCCAGAGACACAAATAAAAACTCAGATCAGAGGTGTGGGGTCTGAGAGTGCTGGAATTGCATGTTAAGAACAGTTGAAACCTGTTATCCGCAAAAAGAAGAACAGGAGGACTTGTGGCACCTTAGAGACTAACAAATTTATTAGAGCATAAGCTTTCGTGGACTACAGCCCACTTCTTCGGATGCATATAGAATGGAACATATATTGAGGAGATATATACACACACATACAGAGAGCATAAACAGGTGGGAGTTGTCTTACCACCTCTGAGAGGCCAATTAATTAAGAAGAAAAAAAACTTTTAGAAGT